TCTATAAGTTTAAACTATTTTAAGTTTTTAACATATTGATTTTTAATTTTGGAAGTATCGAGACTAATTGTAGGATAATAAATCTAATTAACAAAGATAGATTTACTTTGAATTATTAATATGAAAATAAAAAAAAATTATTATTTTCATAGTATTTTATTATTTTTGTATGTATTTATAGCATCATGTTCGACCCTGGTTGAACTTTTTGACCCTTCACCGTTTTCAAGTCAATGACCGGGTCGGTTTTCAAAACATTGCAAAAAGAGTCCTATTTTCCAAATGTCTCTCTATCGCTCGCTCGCTCTCCACCACTCACAAATTCATAAAAACTGCTTGTATGAATATACCCAGGCTTCTCAGGACCATGTATAAATGTAAAATGACAAGAAATTTTTTTTCCCTTTTTCCTTTCAGAGCGAGACAAATGAATGCTTTGATTATTTTATAGGATTTAGGCGCGAGTAATCAGTTGAAGAAATTTACAAAACTTAATCAAGCAGCAAGTTAGACCGCACACTGGTACTGAGGAAGTCACATCCAGAAACAGCATTCCAAAGTGTGAGTTTACTTTTACAAGATAATTCAGCGTGGTTACTTAGTTCATGAAGCTCCCAAATCTAAATATATTAAGGGAAATATTACTGACCTGGTACGCAAGCATTGTAAGTTGAGCATCTGGAGTTGTGAGAACAATAACTGTTCCTGTTGTCCCATCCTTCACCGGTGGTGGAAGGAAATTCACATTTGCTCCTTGGATTTTTTATCCAAGTAAATAAATTAGATAATGAGAAGGTCATTGATTACATATATTAGAGGCAATTAGCAATATAAAAGAAATCATGAGCCAAACCTAAGAAAATCCTTCTTAACTCAGACAATGCATAGCCAAATTGTGTTTTTCCCTACGTACGTGCTTAAGTGGACTGAGTTGAAGACTTTGAAATTATCTAATTTTCACTTATGGTTTCTAACTTCAAGCTTTTAATTGGGGTTTTCATCAAGTCTTGTAATGGAAGTGGTATTTCCAATTTTAGTGCTTTCATATTGCTTCTTCACCTCTTGATGTATCTGGAGGTAAGGTCATGTCCCCCTCCCTGTGTAATTTTCATTTTTATTTATAAAATAGGGTCGGTGAATCAAACCCCCCCCCCCCTCCCCACCCCTGCATTGGGTCTAAGTGGAGGCTTAAAAACCCCACTTAGGCTTTGCTGGTGTTTTTGTCTTAAAAAATAAATAAAAAAGTACAATGCATAGCCAAATACCACTGCTACGTTTGTATAAAGTGAAAGCCAGAGCAAGAGAATAAGAAGTGAGCTTTTCAAATTAAGAACCACCCAAACGCACAGAATATGAGAGAGAGGAGGTATACCTGTAGAATCCACCTAATGGATCACTTCCAACACTGCCAGCCATGGCTATATTTAAAGCAGGCCCTCCAATGGGTTGACCCCAAAGCCTGGCGAAGGCCACCAAGCTATTTGAAAGAGATCCACCAGCAGCAGCCATGTAGCTGCATCCATCCATTGCCCGCAAAACTCTACCTCTTTCTTCATGATTCACTATCTTCCTAGTACCCTTCTCTAATCCAAGTCTATCCAAAAATTCATCATTAACCACGCCAGAAAAGTCGACTACCATCATGAAATCAGAAAAAGTAATTCATTTTATTCTCATAATTCACATTAATATATATAAAGAAAAAAAAGCCCGCGTGAAAAAAGGGAATTACAGAGATCGCCTCAACTTTTGACTAATAAACAGGGTGGTGCATAAGAAAGGAATTAAGATTGTCAATCCATGTCACATACAGACTTGATACCTTGCTCATTTCATTTGTAAAGGACGAAAGGTAGTATGAACTGGTTGCTAACTGGATATTCAAAGGGAACAAACTACGTCCGTTGGTGGATTGCCTGTGTCTGACATGCAGGGGCACTGTCATCCATAGAGCGCGTAGGTGTGTAACTTTCCATATATAGGATCTAAAAATAGGAATGACAATGGGATGGGTCGAGGGTCGTCCCGTGCCCCGTCCCATGGAAATTTTTCGCCCCATATACCACGTGGGATGAGCCTGATTCGAGATGGGCATTCATTTGCCCCAGTCTACTGTAAACATCACTATGACCTATAATTCATCATTACATAAGTAAGATATGTTTTAAACCAATTTCCAACCAAGCATTGGAAAGTTTGACTTCATGTCAACCTCTGCCAAAACGTAACCCGTTTATTTGTTCTTTGTCGCTTTGAAATGGGGGGCTAGGGGGCGAAGTTTTGATTTTCGTGTATAACTAATGTCTCAAAACCAATTTTAGATGAATGAGAAATTATGGTCCAAAATTGGAAGGAAAAAAGGTGGAAAATCGGATGACACTGTTGCTCGAGTGACAGTGCCGTCGCTTGAGCGATAGTATCGCTGTCGCTCGAGCGAACAACGAGCAACGGGCTCACTGAAAGTGTCGCTCGAGCGACGTAGCGAGCGGACAGCAAGCGAAAAGCTGGAAACGCGCGACTGCTGTGTTTTGGCTCACACTACTTCGTCCACAACCCTTCAACATCTATAAATAGGACCCAATGAACGTCTCAATCTTCACACCAATAATATGCAATCATATAGCATTCATTTTCTCTCATTTCTCAACCAAATTCTTGTATTCTTGTTCATAAATTCTGGCTTTCTTCACTTTGCATACCGGAGTTCGTAAACCAAGTTTTGGTTCTCAGTTTCTTGTGTGTTGTAGTGCTACTCACACAAAAAGATAGTCGTTGTATCTTGGGAGTTGATTGCCATAAACCGTAGGCACCGTTGAGGGGAAAATTCGACTTAAGGATAAAGTATTTTACACTTGCCTCGACTTTGATATTATTGTTGTTATACTGCACATTTTTGAGGGTTTATTTGGAGTCCATTTCTTACCGTTACTCTGCCGAAATTTCTACAGAATTTTAAAGGTAATTTGAAGAATTTTTCGGAGTTGTTTGTCACTCCATACACAAAATTTTCCAACAAGATATGTATATTAGAACTTTATCTACTATGAAACATGTTACAATAACATTTTTCATATAAGCAACACCGATCCTACGCATATGATTCATTTTACATTACATCCAAATCATATTTGTCTTTTTATACTTAAAGCATAATTAGAAAGTGTTTATAAACGGTTTAAATTGTACATATATATATAAATGAGTGGTAAATTAAGTACTTAGTACTTGTAGATCCCTTCAAAATGTATAAATAAAATTAACCTGAACATTTACAAACCATCTATATATATAAACCACTCATAAGCTAAATTATTTATTTATTTAAATCTTTATATCGTTTGTTCATTGCACCAATCCGACCAAAGTGTCTAAGTGTCTCCATTTGGATACAAATTTATAAACTCAATTAAAATCAAATATTTATTTCAACCACACATTTATAACTAGTACTAGTACTCATTATTATACACCTAGTTAACTTAATGTTTATACAACTTGATAAGTCCATTGGTTAAACTACAATGTAATAGAGTAGTTTTTTCTCCACCTAAGTGGTTACAAAAGACATATTTAGCAGGGAGCTAACCCTACATTGGCAAACCACAATTTTTTTCCGACCACTAATCATTGAATCCGTCTTTTAGTCTCAACTATCCTAATTTCAAAGAATAAGCTCGGAGTGTCCTTACATGTTTAACACTTTAACATCATAATATTAGTTTTATAGTCACCCTAGTAATTAGAAATTTAACAAGCTCAGGAGGCTTCTCGAGTTATGGTTTGATGAATGCGTTTGCAATTGTTTTAACACACTCTACAAGTGCAACATTAGTTTGTGCTCACATTGGATGGAAGGAAATACTTTTGGTTTAAATAAAAATCAAATTTTTAGTAAATTTTGATAAAAGTTTATAAAATACATTGCTGAAAATTGATAGAAGTTATGGTCATATTTAATGTAATTAAAAATAAGTTAGAGCGAAATGAGTTTTAAGAAATGGGAGTAAAAAAATGACTTATTTCACATGTAAGTATATGAAAACATTGTTGGCATGATAGGTTGGGACAAATAGAGCAATTCCATTAAGTTTTCAAAGCATTCCGGAGAATGTAGGTATGGTGGACTCAGACCACTGGACATTTGGAGAGTTAGAATGTGTTTGATAGATATTATTGAGAGCTTAGTCCATATTTGAGAGGAATTGATATCTAGATTTTTATCAAACTCAAAATCAACAATTAATTTTAACAACATATTTATAGGACTCACAATTTTTCTACAACATATTTTTATCAACTTTTATCAAAATCGGCTAAAATTTTGACCAAACATGGACTTATTGTGTATTTTGTTGTAAAATTCAAATATTAAAAGTAAAATTTAATTTAATTTAATTTTAGTAACAAATTTATTGTGTATTTCATTGCAATTAGTAGTCACTTCATTTTCACAGTTTTGCAAGCATTTATTATAATATTTAAATTTAGCAACGAAATATCCAATAAATTTGTTATTAAAATGAAATTAAATCTGAATTTAATATTTGAATTTACAAAAAATTACACAATAGTTAGAATTAAATTAAATTCAAATTTTAACAACGAATTTTAATTAAATCCAAATTTACTGTGAGTAACGGAAGACTTTTTCAAAGTTTAGTGGTCAAATTCGACCACCTCAAATTTTAGTGACCATTATTCAACCATCTCAATGTTTAGTGAGCAATAGAAAACGTTTTTCAAAATTCAGTAAGCAATCAAAGACGTTTTTGAAAGTTTAGTAGTCAAAATTCGACCATCTCAAAGTTTAACTGTTTGACGAGATGCCACAAGTGAATTTCGTCAGCCACGTCACCAATTTCGTTAGAGATTTTAAACAGAAGTTATACTAGTGAGTAACGTTCAACGTTTCCAAAGTTAAATGGCTAAAATTTGACATTTTTAATTTTAGTGAGCAATTGAAGATATAGACGTAAGTTCAGTAAGTATTGGTCAATTAACTCCTTTTTGGATCGTAATTGAGATTTGAGCCACAAAGAAAAGAGAGGAACCGCGAACAAAAAGTGGGCAAGGGTAACGAAAAAGGAAAAGAAGAAGCTACAAAAGGAGAAGCAAAGAGTGTGCAAGATGTGCAAAAGGACATACAATAATACGTCCTCAAATATGCCAACATCTTGTTGTTATCGTCCTTCCTTCTTCATTTGTCGCCTTCACAATGATCAGAAGAGGTAATCCCTTTACGCCGTTTGTAGAATATAGTTCTATCAATTATTCGTTAACTATAAGCAATTAATTAACCATAATACCAAGATCTTTAGAATTCATGATTTTCACATATAGATTTAATTGATCAAGAAATATATATTGATCCACAGCAATAATTGAAAGATTTAAACCGACAAAAGAGAAACTAGTAAGATCAAGAAACCGTTCTCTCTCTTTACGTCTTTGTAATTGAATGTTTAATTTGATAGGTTATCTTCACATTTATAGGTAGAGAGAGACAATTTCATGGGCCATTAAAAAATTACCAACTTTCCATCAAAGTGGAAAGTTATAAAACTGTCACTTCTAAATGGGTCAATAGGATTTTAGCAATAATAAACCATTTAAATTAATTTATTAATAATATTATTAGGCCCACATTAATTGGTCTTGCATTCTCCCACTTGACTCGTGTAATATTATATTGTTATGTGGTCTATAACATAATGCGCATATGAAAAACTAAAATCTTTCATACAATGGTCATTTAATATATCATCCTTAAGTAAAGACAGATAAGAGTCATGGCGGTTGTACACCATCATTTCGACATAATTCCTTTAGTCCCCACCTAACATGAAATGTAATGAGAAGTTCGATAACTGCATTACAATAATATCTTTGAAAGCATTGTCTCTATCGACATTCATATAATCCATTCATGTACATATGACAACTATTATGACATGAATAGTATTTTTGTCAAAAACAATACATAAACGAGCTCAAAGTGTCAATTACATAAATTCCATAATGTCAATGATAATTTATAATAATGTCCATTCTTTCGATATGTTCGTAAAATGTCTTTGGTCGCAATCCCGTCGTTAGTGGATCTGTAATCATAAGATTGGAGCTAATATGCTCGATTGACACCTTTTGTTTTTGAACTTCTTTTTTAATGGCAAAGTACTTCAATTTCATGTATTTAACACATTTAGAGTACTTGTCGCTCTTTGAAAAGAAGACTGCTGCAAAATTGTCACAATAAAATTTCAACGGCTTAACAATAGTGTCGACAATTCCATGCCTTGAATTCCGCAGCCAATTTCCTTGAACCTAACCTCAAAGCATGCCACAAACTCAACTTCCATAGTGTATGCATCAGTGATTGACTGCTTTGCACCTTTCCATGATATAGCCCATCCGCTACGAGGAACAAACTGCCAAATGTGGACTTTTTAGTATCCACACATCTAGCAAAGTCTGAATCATAATATCCAATGACCTCAAAGTTATCAAATCTCCTATAAGTGAGCACGTGATCAAATCTCCTATTAGCTAGCTTTATATCGTTCAATATTACAATTAGAGTCGCGCTTGGTCTTAAAGACTCATTTGCACCCAACTCTTTTACATGATTTACGTAATTCGAC